GGGGGGGGGGGGGGGGGGGGGGCAGGAAATTAAATCTGTCCCTACCTCTGCCACACCATATGTGATCCTAAGCAAGTCATAAGCCAAAATTTTATCAGCTGTCCATGAATTGTGCATTCCTCTTTTTTCAAGTGCCCAACTCTACCCACATAGGGCTACCAATGTGGAAATACCGAGCACTTTATAACTTAAATTCATTGGTATCCTCAGTACCTTTTGTACGAAAGGCAAAATGGCCCAAAGGCATCAGAGGCATGGGAGTCCAAAAAATCTAAAACTCTAATTTCAGTCCTAACACTCAGTAATTTATGTTGCCTCGTACAAGTCGTTTGCCTTAAATTTTACAAGTGCAAAATTGGGATAAAACACCATCTCTTGCAAGAGAGAATGTATTCACATTTTTAAACTTCAAATACTATGCCGAGTCATTTGGGAAAGACCACAAGAAAATTAATTCAAAACTAACTACAAGCTATAGATGGCACTACAGTTTAAGGCAGGAGATACTACTTGAATAAAGAAAATAAAAATATTCAACAGATGCCACGTTCCATAAGCACGTTTTTTTTTTTTGTTTTTTTTTTTAAACACACAGTAAAGGTATGAGTTTTTTGGGGAAAAAAGACAACTTACTTCCAGTATCATAGGTTGTCAAATCAACAGGAATAGGGATGCAGGATTAAGTTACTTGGGTGACCAAAATTCTGGCATTGCCTAACTTTCAAACATTTGCCTCTTCAACCTAAAACATTGTTTCTGTATGTATCTTAAGAAACAACAATTTATATACATGCAGACCTTATTTATATTAAAATGTGTAAATACCAAATCCTAATTCACATGACAGGATGGTTTCTGATCTGATTTAGTGGCATGACTAGTGCACAGATATTATACACGGAGTTTCAGGTTTACGCAATCCTTTATATGCTCTATTTGCATCTCTGTCATGACACTGAAGCATCAGTTAGCCAAGAACTGAAACATAACACGTTATGCCAAAACAAATGTCTTGTATAGCATACAGTTAACGATTCCTTCACTTTTAATCTAATTAGATTGCACTGCATTTTACAGGCACTTTCAATATTTATTGTATTTTTTACTAAAGATCATTAAAGAAGTTTCAATAAAAATACAGAAGTCATAAAACTGCATCCCAGGCTGCCAATTTCAATTTAAGTTTCCCAAAAATCAATGGGACTCTTGTTCAACTAGTTGGTTTTAATTTCCAGGGGTAGTGGCAGAATCAGCTTCTGTTCATTAAGTATTAAAACAGCTGCATCTTTGAAAAGCAATTGTATAGGCAAACCTTTTTCTGAGCACCTTCCTTCTTTTTCTTTTCTTCCTGCTTTTTCTTTTTCTTTTCTTCCATCAAACGTTCCTCTTCTTGTGTTTCTTGTTCTTTCTCCCTATGTAAAAGAAAGATTGGAAAAAAAAACTTCTGAATGAGATCAGTCACATAAAGCAAGATAAATAGAAATATTACATGTCCAGAAATTTCTAGTGTTATGAAAAACAGCACTTTAATAGAGCCGTTATAAAAAAAATTCTGCATCTAATGCCAAGTGACTGATGCCTACAGGAAGCTCCTGCCAGAGCTGTAGCTACCCAATGTGCCAGAAGCTACTTGGCTATGGGAAAATCTCTCCCTTCCAAAAACCAACACATTGATTTTTGTTTGTTTGTTTGTTTGTTTGTTTTGTTTTGTTTTTTTTACGAACCTTCCATTTTAAACAGTAAAAAATACAAAATACCTGAAAATACATACTATTAGGTAGAAGGTAGTGAATTGGCCAGACAATTCCTTTGTAATAATAAAAAAAATATGGGGAAAACTAGAGGGTAGAAATATGGAAAATATTTTAAATTGGTCCTGCTCCACAGAAACTCAGAACCAGCTTCAAAGGAGAGGTTATACAAAGTATGGGCAATACCCATACCAAAAAATGACCGAAAGGAAGTACTAGGTCCTCCAGTCCATCACAAATCTGAGCTTCCATTTTAAAACTCCATAGGTTACTTTAGTTAGTATGCAACAATGATTTTTCCACACAGGAAGTTCTGTTGAACTCCTTTTTCTTCATTCTTAAAATAAGCTTTGATTAAACCCCAATTTTTGGATTGGAAAAAAGTTCGATTTTATTTAAAGTGTTTTGGCCATCCTTCAGAGGATTAGGAAGTTACATCTCCAAAAAACCAAAAACCAAACAAAAACAGGATGACAAACCAAATCAATTACTCGGTATACAAACACAACGTGGAATGAAATGTAAGCGAGATTGCAAAAATGTCAAACATTTCATTTTGGATCTACATTTACTATGCAATGAGATAGTTCTCCACCGGTACTGAGGTGCAAAGACTAGGCTCACCCGAGCTGCTGACAGTAAAGAACGGAGTATAGAGAGAGCTGGAGTTATAACTCTTATGAAGTAATACAACTCCTCAAAATGAACTACCTCCTTAAGAATTTCCTGAAATGAAACGCCTAAATTATTTTTGTCAAAAAAGTTAAAGAAAAATACCAATGCAAAGATATTCAGAGCCCGTGGCAGCTGTATCATGAACACCTTTATGACAGGCCTGTTTCTCCCAGATCAGCTAGGGACAGGGTTAAACGGGACCTAGCAAACCAAGGTGATCTGCAGACGTCCTGAGTTTGGAACATTAGCAAGACAAAAAGTTTAAAAAAAAAAAGTTTTTTTTAAAAAAAGGACTCAAAGCAGACAAGGAAACAATGAACAGGTTTTCGCAGTTTGATGTGAACTCGTTTGGCTGCAGGACTGATCCAAGGAACAAGGAGACAAACCATGAGCCATTGAGCCCAGTGCAGGTATTTTACTAGGCCTCATTACTCAAAAGCAGATGCTAGAAGGAAAGTTTGCACTCCAAGGGCATGACTAAAGGCTCAAGGCAGGTGCAATTCCTGAATTCTATTCAGGCTAAATAGGCTTGAAACAGTGGGAATCCAGCAACTAGATCCCCCAACAGCAGCCTGGTCACAGCCCAAAAGGTGGAACGCAGCTGGATGCTATTAATTCACACTTTGGAATTTAATACTTTTCCTAAATTTCTGGAAGGGCATTGGTCTAGCACAGGTTAAGGACCCTGCCACTCGGGCTGCCCTGCAGCTGCTCTGCACTGTGACCACTGCCACACTGGGCAACCCAGGGTCAGCAGCCTGGGAGGTATGGGCTCTGGGTGGCTGCACCAAGAACTGCCCGGCAGTGGCAAGGGGAAAGGGCTGCTTTTCCCTTGTACCAAGCAACAGTTTCTGCCTGGCACAGGTGCAGGGCATGCCAGGGTCCCTGCCAGTATCGTGGGGCTGAGGCTAGTGGCAGCAGCAACCAGAAGGAGCTGCCCTAGCCCCACTGCATGCCTAGAGCATGGCAGGATGCACCATGGCTAAACAGTACGGAGCAAGTGCAGGGCAGGTGGGGGCTGTGCACTGTTGGTGGCAGGGAGACACTGCAAAGCACACAGGCTCTGGGCTGCTGGAGGGTACATGGGAGCAGGGGGTTCCCATGCACACCCCACCATACCAAACCCTCCCCAACAAGTTCTACAACCACACCCTCCCCCCACACAATCACACCCCCCAAACTGCACCCACCCCCAAGCCTCCCCACACCTGCATGCCTCTGGGGAGTGCCCTGCTCACTGTTTCAAGCACCACCCCCAGTCATCCTCCCCCTCCACCCACCCCACAAACCCCATACACCTGCAATATACAACAGTAAGAATTCATTTTGAGCTATTATTCAATGATCTACATATACACACACAAATCAGAACAAAAGTACTTTAAAGTAAAATTAAAATGTTATTAGGGATGTTTGATATTTAGTATATAATTTGTTTGGGTGTGGGGAGGGGAGGGGAAAGTGGCTGGTTTCAAGATGGCAACCCCCCTTCCCAAAAAGAGTACTTTTGGAGGCAAGGGGTGGGATTTCCAGTGGCAGAGGTCAGCGGGCAGGACTTCTGGTTCCAAGATGGCAACCAAGGGGTGGGACTACCCTTGCAGCCCTCCACAGCTCACCAAAACTCGTTAAGCAGCCCTCCAGCCAAAATAATTACCCATCCCTGATCTAGCATCTCTTAAGTCCAAGTCCTTGTCCAATCCCTTAACTATAAAACTAAAGTTCAAAACACTAAATCTGAATCAAAAGGAAATGGCATTGGCTGAACAGTCATGTAATTGCTCCAGGTTCTCCAACAAGCAAGAAACTGGAGCTAAAAAAAGAGAAAAAAAACATTTATTACTGACTGACTATCTGGTTTAATGGGGGTCCTACACGAGCATAAAGCTGCAAATCAAATTAAAATAACCTTTCACAAAATGTAAAATGTACTTTGAGTGTTTAACAAAAGCTAAATTTAGTGTTGCCTTAATCCCAGCTTTGAAATTACAAACTAATCTCAACCTAAGAAGTAAAGTAAACTAGTACCATAATTAGCACCAATCAAAACTGGTATAAAACATATCATCAGTATTTCAGATCCTTATGTCCAATAGTAATAGCTCATTTAAAAAAAATGAGCAGGTGGATCATTATTCTCTCTTTAGCCAAAAAGGTTTTTAAACCAAGTTTAAATGCAAAAGGAACAAGTAAAATTTCCTTTTTCAAATATTTTCACTCTTAAACTGCAGTTGTTTGGGTTTATTTTTGGTGAGCAGATTTTTCTGAGTAGGTAAGAACCCTAAACTGATCTTTTAAGGATGGCTTCATGCATCTGAAGCATTACTTTCCATGGGAACAATCCTTGTGCTGATGCCATCTCTTGGACTTCATAGCATTGACAAAAGCAGTTGCACAAAGCCAACTATTCAAGTGGTAAAAGACAGGACAGTTTTAGCCGCAGCGTGTTACACAGTCTAATGCAGCGAGAAGGGCGGGGGGGGGTGCAGATTGCAGAAGCACCAAAGTAACAGAATGACAGGAGAGCCTGACCTTGAAAACTCAA